TCCACGTGTCCTCCACCAGCAGCAATGCAGAGTCTTGCTCTCTTCAGAAGATTCTCCCTCATGCGTTGTAACTCTTCGGGAGTGACAGTGGCTACTGCAGCGTGCAGCAGTGCAGTCATCTCCTCCTGATTTCTTGGATTGTGAGGGTATATCCGGAACTCCAGAGTACCCCACAAGAAGAAATCCAGTGGAGTGAGGTCTGGAGACCGCGGGGGCCAAACCACAGGTGGATGGCGACGTCCACCTCTGCCCCGATTGTTCCGGTTCCCTATCCAGCGATCCGGAAACCACTCATTCAGCTGGTCCACTACTGTCACGCACGTATGAGCTGGAGCCCCATCGTGCTGGAACTAAATATCTCTGTCACCAGGCCCGTCACCGACGACAGTTACAAGACGATCTTGCAAAAATCCCAAGTAATTGCCACCCTGAAACAAAAACAAATTACAATAATTATTCGAGTGGTAATCAAATCATACAGAGTGAAAAATAGAATGGCCTCTGTGTTGATTTAGCATTGGTTCCCTGTCCCGTTCACACTAAACGGTGTCCCAGAAAGTCCACACCGTCCGTGGTAAATTCAAATTCAAATAGAATTGAAATTTAGAGAGAAAAAATTCCGATTCGCCCAGCTGGGATGCGAACCCGGGTCTCCCAGTTACGCGCCGGGCACTCTTACCGACTCACACCGTCCATAGTGTGGACTTTCTGGGACACCGTTCGGAGTGAATTGGACAGGGAGTTAATGTTAAATTAACACGGAGCCATTTTTCCATTTTTTGCAGTGTAGGATAAAGAAAAAATACTTACGTTGAGACGTCCTGGTAAGTGATAAATGTGGACTTCATCACCAATGATTCCTCCCCAGATGTTCATACTGTCTGAACGATACTGATAGTTAGATTCTTTCGCGAGACGAGAATTTTCAGTAGCCCAATGATGCTCATTGTGCTGATTGATAATCCCCTTTCTCACGAAAAGTTTCTCGCCTGTCCAGCAAACGTTGCGTATGAAATCGGGAGCGCGACTTCTGTCAAGGAGCCATTGGCAGAACTCCACACGCTTCCGCAAATCCTCCGCTTTCAGCTCTTGAACACGCGTGTACTTCCATGGATGGAAACCTTCACTTTTCATCACACGATGAACCGTGGAATGGTCCGTGTGTAATGCGGATGCGATTCCCCAGATGGACATTCCTGGATATTCCTCGACACACTCGAGAATTTCCTCCTCTACCTCCACGTGACGTGCTCGTCTTGGGCGCCCTTCGCCGTGCCTTGGGAGGACGTTACCCTCCCTCAGCTGTTGAAAAGCATCCCTGAAGGTACGTGGATCAGGCACCACACGATTTGGGAACTGCTCCGCGTAGATTCGAGCAGCTTTCGCCCCATTGCCCCGCGCAATACCATAAACTGCCACCATATCTGCGTATTCCGCTGCCGTGAATTGAACTATTTTCACGATGTGTATCGAATCAAAGAATTAACAAAATCGGAAAAACACATGAAAAAACAAAGAAGTTCTTTTGGGAAACAAATGAGCTCGGTCACAACTCATCTGTTTTTCGACGTGGTCATTCGTATTGTGATTTCCGTGCGATACACATCGTGAAAATGGTTTGATTCATGGCAGCGGAATACGCAGATATGGAGGCAGTTTATGGTGTTGCGGGGGACAATCGGGCGGAAGCTGCTCGAATCTACGCGGAGCAGTTCCCAAATCGTGTGGTGCCTGATCCACGTATCTTCAGGGATGCTTTTCAACGGCTGAGGGAGGGTAACGTCCTCCCAAGGCATGGCGAAGGGCGCCCAAGACGAGCAGATCACGTGGAGTTGTAGGAGGAAATTCTCGAGTGTGTCGAGGAATATCCAGGAATGTCCATTCGGGGAATCGCATCCGCATTAAACACGGACCGCTCCACGGTTCATCGTGTGATGAAAAGTGAAGGTTTCCATCCATGGAAGTACACGCGTGTTCAGGAGCTGAAAGCGGAGGATTTGCCGAAGCGTGTGGAGTTCTGCCAATGGCTCCTTGACAGAAGTCGCGATCCCGATTTCATATGCAACGTTTGCTGGACAGTCGAGAAACTTTTCGTGAGAAAGGGAATTATCAATCAGCACAATGAGCATCATTGGGCTATTGAAAATCCTCGTCTCGCGAAAGAATCGAACTAGCAGTATCGTTGGGACAGTATGAACATTTGGGGAGGAATCATTGGTGATGAAGTCCACATTTATCACTTACCAGGACGTCTCGACGTAAGTATTTTTTCTTTATTCTACACTGCAAAAAATGGAAAAATGGCTCCGTGTTAATTTAACCTTAATTCCCTGTCCAATTCACTCCGAACAGTGTCCCAGAAAGTCCACACCGTCCATGGTGTGGACACCGTCCATGGTGTGGACTTTCTGGGACACCGTTTAGTGTGAACGGGACAGGGAACCAATGCTAAATCAACACTGAGGCCAGTCTATTTTTCACTCTGTATGATTTCATTACCACTCGAATAATTATTGTAATTTTTTTTTGTTTCAGGGTGGCAATTACTTGGGATTTTTGCAAGATCGCCTTGTAACTGTCGTCGGTGACGGTCCTGGTTGGTGACAGAGATATTTGGTTCCAGCACGATGGGGCTCCAGCTCATACGTGCGTGGCAGTAGTGAAGCAGCTGAATGAGTGGTTTCCGGATGGCTGGATAGGGAATCGGAATGATCGGGACAGGGGTGGACGTCGCCATCCACCTGTGGTTTGGCCCCCGCGGTCTCCAGACCTCACTCCACTGGATTTCTTCTTGTGGGGTACTCTGGAGTCCCGGATATACCCTCACAATCCAAGAAATCAGGAGGAGATGACTGCACTACTGCACGATGCAGTAGCCACTGTCACTCTTGAAGAGCTACAACGCATGAGGGAGAATCTTCTGAAGGGAGCAAGACTCTGCATTGCATCATGGGGAAAACTGTCCTTTTGAGGGCAATGATAAAAAATGGCCCTTTTCAGGGCCACCAAATGACAACGTTGGATTTCCATTCTTTCACGTGCAAAAATGGCCATGGCCGTAGCCATGTGATGATCAAATGTCACGAGGGTCACTTGGTGGAAAGTCAAACTTCACAAGGGTCGTTTGGGAGAGAAGTCAAACGTTATAAGGGTCACTTGTGGGTGGTCAAACGTTAGGAGGGTGCCTTGAGGGAGAGACAAACGTAAGGAGGGTCACTTGAAGAAACAATCAAACCTCATGAGGGTCACTTGGAGGAAAATAGAATTATTTTTAGAGTCTGAGGCTCACAAGGCTCACGAGAATTACAAGTGGAAAAAGCCAATGTAGGGACAATGGTGAAATTATGGATGTATCATTTAACACCATGTGTATTGTGTAAGTAGCAACTTTGGAAATTGTTTCTGTTGTTCTCAAGCTTCTAGGCTATCTGAAATATTGCATCTCTTGAATTGTCACTAATTCAAATTTTCCCCGAAAACTATTGTGATTTTTCCCTAGTGACATTTGTGACGTTTGACCATCCGCAAGTTACCCTTGTGAAGTTTGACTCTTCCCCAAATGACCCTCGTAACGTTTGACTCTACCCCAAGTGATTTTCGTGACGTTTGACTGTCCCCCAACTGTCTCTTATGACGTTTGATTCTCGCCTAAATGACCCTCGTGACGTTTGACCAGCCGCAAATGACCCTTATGACGTTTGACTCTCCCCCAAGGTACCCTTCTAACGTTTGACCATCCGCAAATGACCCTCGTGATGTTTGGCCATTCGCAAAAGACGTTTGGCTCTTCCCCCCAAGTGACCCTCGTGAGGTTTGACTCTTCCTTCAAGTGACCCTCGTGATGTTTGACTCTTCCTTCAAGTGACCCTCGTGACACTTGACTTTCCACCGAGGGATATTTGTGAGATGTGATTCCCCCGCAAGTGATCCTTGTAACATTTGACTCTCCATCAAATGACCCTCGTGACGTTTGACTTTCCCCCAAATGACTCTTGTGACGTTTGACACTCCCCAAAGGGACTCTCGTGACGTTTGACCATCCGCAAGTGACCCTCGTGACGTTTGACAATCCCCAACGTCCATCCCATAGCTACGACCATGGCCAAATGTCCAAATAAACAATTATCTCAAAAATGGGAAAGGGACGGGTTTTGATTTTCGTGCATTTTTTTGTTGAAAAACACTTTTTTACAATTATCTTGTAAAAAAATGCATTTACAACATTTTGCCATTCATTATTTTTTGTAGGGAATCCAATTTCCTACAAAAAACGTCTGTTTGGTGAGTGACTAGATTTAGGGTGGATGTGGGATGAAAATGTGGAGGGAGCTGTTGGGAAAATTACTGATGAGCCGGATTTAAAAAATCACACTTTATTTTGTGGGATCGCACCACTTTGTCAAAACTTATGTACACTCTTTGGTAATCTCACTGGTGAATGTCCAATTGCACTGATAATTGTCTTTCACTGTTAATTCTTGGAGTCACTGAATTTAGACTGAATTTAATCAACAGAGGTGACGTACTGAACAAACCGGTGATCTTACAAAGACCGGTGATGTACTTGATTACTAGTGAGGTAGGTGAGGTATAAGAAGCTACTGTACTCGGTGAGGTGCCATATAAAACTTGCACAGGTGATTTGCCCGTGATAGACTTATACGGTGAGAGGCTAAGCCTAAACTGATTCGCGCGTGTTTCGGTGACTTATGGCTGATGACCTGAAGGGTCCCGGAGATTTTCGAAGTAGGCCGATGGTCGACCAGAATGTTCTGGAATTTTAGTTGCGTTTCAAACACCCCGGGGGCAATTCATCATCAGGGATGATGAATTAATTGTTGAGTTTTCTCTGCTGCTCTCTCGTTGATTTGCTTCTTCTTCTTTTGAGTGATTTTCTGGTGTTGATGATGTTTTTCGGAGAATTGTCTGCTGGTGCTATACTGGTGTTGTTGAGGACGCCGGGGGCGTGGCTAATTCTTCAATTTAGCCACTGTGAACTTCTAGGTGTCCTTGACGTCTTCCTGTTGAGTTGCTGTCATCCTGGTGAATTCCTTGTCGAGTTGAGGGAGGCGTAAATTCCCCCATTTGGCGAAAGCGCCGACTGTCGAGTCGAAGGAGGCGTAAATTCCGTCGATCATCGTCGAACTCGAGGCTGATGATTGCTGAGGGGAGAAACACAGATTGAGAGAGGTATCACTTGCCAAAATAACGATAAATGGAACGTGATACTTATCTCTCAATCCTGGAGCCTTTGGGGTTCCCTAGCTGCTTGGTGAGAACATCTTCTCCCAGGGCCTGTTCTGTGGTAGATAGTATGCCGAAGAGGCTTCTGGAAATTCTGATGCCTTTGTTGATTTCTAGAGATTTAACTGTGTCCCACAGTTGTTGATCATCTGTGGTGATAGCTCCGCAATTTGTATGCAGTTGATTACATTAAATTTGCATGTTTCCTGGTCCCTGAATTTTGGTGAAGCTTCATCAGCTGCTCTGTTGGTTTCCTTACGGCCGTTGGAGAAATTCTCGGTGAACAAACTGTGCAATTACGTACCTCGTAGTGTTCCATAATTGCTGTGTGTTGGCGCTAACTAATTGAAGATTCCAGGATTTGACGAGGTGAACCGCCTTGGTTGTCAATCCTCCTGCTAATGTTGAATGGACCAGTCTTCTTTTATGTGAATCGGCTGTTTAATATTTCTTAGAGCGCCGATCTCTACTAAATCTGTTGATGATCTCTTTTAGCGATGTAGTTGATGAGCTGACTGTTGATCTGAAGTTCGCGTCCCTTTTTTGGTGAAACTTGAACCTCCTCTTGGTGATGTTCTTCCTTCTGGTAAGCCCTTTCTCGACTGAGAGAGGCGTAAATTCCCCCAGTTGTCGCCGAGCTCATTGTCGTCGATTGCTAAGGGGAGGAACATAAGGTGAGAGACGTATCACTTGCCAATAAAATAATAAATGGAAGCTGATACTTGACTTTCAATCCTGTAGTTCCTGGATTCCCCTTCCTGCTGATGATGATGTACTTCTGTTGAAATTAGTGCCAGAGTTGACTCCTCTCGCGTAAGCCTCGATAAATGTTGATAATTCTTGGTTCGTTGATGATCTGCTGGTGAATGGCTGCGTTGATGTGACGAACATTTGGATTGTTGAGTTCTTCCTGAGTGGTGATTGGCTTATTTTTAACTGCCTCATTTATTGCTGACAGTCCCTCATCTAGTGTGACTTGCACAATTTACTCAATGTTGCTCTCTGGTTGAGTTCCTTCTGTGGGGTCGTTGACCTGAGCGTCGTCTGCCATGGTGATAATCTGTGCTAAGTTGTTGATATTGTAAGTTATCGGCTGTTGAGACGCTACTGATAGCCGATGAGTTACTGACTACCGAGCGTTCGGTGAGTCGCCTATTGCGTGGCGCACGTGGGCCAAACGTTGATGGGCTTCAGCAACACTCGACACTCACGAACGCTCCCGATTTCGACACTGAATTTCACTGGTATGTCCTTTGTTACCCCGTCGCCCTTGCGGGTGTAAACAAAGCGAATGTTCTAGAACCCTGTCCGTTGATTTGCCCGTGCGAACCCCGAAAGTTTACTCGACACGAGGCGTGTTTATGATTTTTCCACAACACTTTTCACACGTTTTCACCCACTATCCGGCTCGAAGGACCACTGTTTGGTGAATGACTAGATTTAGGGTGGATGTGGGATGAAAATGTGGAGGGAGCTGTTGGAAAAATTACTGATGAGCCGGATTTAAAAAATCACACTTTATTTTATGGGATCGCACCACTTTGTCAAAACTTATGTACACTCTTTGGTAATTTCACTGGTGAATGTCTAATTGCACTGATAATTGTCTTTCACTGTTAATTCGTTGAGTCACTGAATTTAGACTGAATTTAATCAACAGAGGTGATGTACTGAACAAAACAGTGATCTTACAAAGACCGGTGATGTACTAGTGAGCTAGGTGAGGTTCAAGAAGCTACTGTACTCAGTGAGGTGCGATATAAAACTTGTACAGGTGATTTGCCCGAGATAGACTTCTACGGTGAGAGGCTAAGCCTAAACTGATTCGCGCCTGTTTCGGTGACTTATGACTGATGACCCGAAGGGTCCCGGAGATTTTCGAAGTAGGCCGATGATCGACCAGAATGTTCTGGAATTTCAGTTGCGTTTCAAACGACATCTTATCATGAAATAACCTAAATTCAGTAGTTTATTAAATAATTACAAAAATATAATCAACATTGTTATGTAATTATTTAATAAACTATTGGGTTTACGTTATGACACTATAAAACGTTTTTTGTTGGAAATTTGATCTTCTGCAAAAAGATTTTGTTTGCAAAATGCTGTAAAGNTATTTAATAAACTATTGGGTTTACGTTATGACACTATAAAACGTTTTTTGTTGGAAATTTGATCTTCTACAAAAAAATTTTGTTTGCAAAATGCTGTAAAGCCATTTGTTTACGAGATAATTGCAAAAATATTTTTTTTCAGCAAAATTCCACCAAAATAAAAAAATCAGAGCTCTGGGGATTCCGTAAACAATTAATAATTATTAATTGTTTACTCAAAACGAGAGAGGAAAGAATCATTTTTTTTCTGTTTCGTAATCCCCTCCAAAAACAATAAGAGCGACAGAGAACTATCGTTTCTTCTCTTTCTCGCTCACGAGTGGAAGGGGAACTCTATCCAGCTTCCTGCTCAGTGGAAGGGGCATCACGCATACTGATGCGCACAGCCACACGGACGTACAGCTGCTGAACGCTGTAGCGCCATTGGCTGTCCTCCTCACCCTAATAACTCCTCAGGGGTGCTTCTGATCAAAAAGTGGAANGGGGGGGGGGGGGGGGGGGGGGGGGGGGGGGGGGGGGGGGGGGGGGGGGGGGGGGGGGGGGGGGGGGGGGGGGGGGGGGGGGGGGGGGGGGGGCACCGGGAACTCTCGGTTAGCAGCTCCCCCCCATACCCCCCGGTTTTTCAAGGAAAATTCGCTATCTCCTTTACTTTCCGAGACTTAAGGTGTGGGGAGGGGAAGGCGGGGTGACACATCAACAACTCTCCGTTAGCGACTCCCCCCCATTCCCCTGACGGAACCATGCGAGAGTACGACTTTATATTTGTTCCAGCAGTGGAGAGTTGGGAGAGAGTTGGAGCCAAATAATAATATTAAATATATTAGATAAAATTTTTTCTCTTTTGGTGGAGAGGGGTGCAGAGGTAGTGGGCGAAGGGGTTAGAGTCATATAATAATATTAATTATTTTGGATAATGTTTTTTTTTGGAACAGAGGGGGGGGGGTTAGAGTTAAATAATAATATTGTTTATTTTTGATAATATTTTTTTTGGAACAGAGGGATGGAGGAGGAGGGGGCGAAGGGGTTAGAGCCAAATAATAATAATAATTATCTTTTTGAAAGGGTAGAGAATTGGGGTCGGGTGCATCACCGGCCCAACTCTCTACTCTCTATAAAAGTAGAGAGCAGAGAGTTCGCCCGGTGACGCACCCAGCCCCAACTCTCTACTTTCTACAAAAGTGGAGAGTAGAGAGTTGGCCCGGTGACGCACCCGACCCCAATTCTCTACTCTCTCAAAGAGATAATAATTATTATTATTTGGCTCTAACCCCTTCGCCCCCTCCCCCTTCATCCCTCTGTTCCAAAAAAAACATCAAAAATAATTAATATTATTATTTAACTCTGACCCCTCCTCCCCTCTGCTCCAAAAGAGAAAAATTTTTTATCAAAAATAATCAATAATATTTTTTGGCTCTAACCCCTTCGCCACCGCCCCCTCCGCCCCTCTGCTCCAAAAGAGAAAATTTTTTTATCAAAAATAATTAATAATATTATTTGGCTCGAACTCCTTCGCCCCCTCTCCCTTCGGCCCTCTGTTCCAAAAGAGAAGACATTTTTATAAGAAATAATCAATAATATTATTTGGCTCTAACCCCTTCGCCCCCTCCCCCTCCGCCCCTCTCCTTCAAGAAAGAAAGAAATGTTATCAAAAATATTTAATGTTATTATTTGGCTTCAACCCTTAAAAATGGAAGTTTTCACCCTTTCCCAAACGGAATAAAAATTATTAATGAGTTCCCCAAACAATTCCTAATAAATGTATATAATTTTGGTCTCCTTCTGTAATACTCGTTCGCCGAATAAACATATTTTCTAATTTAATTAATACAGATAATGATTTCGTAAACATCCCCAATCCATTCCCAAACGATTACCATCAATGAAAAATAATAATTAATCTTTCGTCGACCGAGTATATAACGCTGACTTAACTGACCAAGTCGGTAATTCAACGCTGGCGCCATCTCCGGACATCCCCCCACCTGGGCTCTTATTGCCATACATTACATTATCGATTATTTATTATAATTGATGGAAAATAACAAATTTAACGCTGTCAATTAAAATAAATAATTCATCAATCAACTTTTTCATCATTTTTTCATTGAATTTCAGTCGTTTTCATCCAAAACTAGCATGCCCGCAAGCATACCCGCTACATCCACGCTACTCCGGGCATCCTAAATCGCCAGGGTACGTTCAACACAAAAATCTATTAGTTTTTGCTACTAACCTATTTGTATTTCACTGCATTTTGCTGTTGTTCTCGAGTCACATAATGTACGTGACGATTATTATTTCGTTTCTTCATTTTGAATGGCTCAAACCCACTTTTTTACTTACAAATTTATTTTTAAATTTACTGTATATAATTTACGGTATTCCCGTCCCCCATGCAATGGGGTAATATATTCCAAAAGCATTAATGAATTGAATTGAAACTGAATTGAAAAGAAGATGGCGAAATTATTGTAATGACCTTTTTCATAGCCCTTGAAATTCTCTACAAAAAAGGCCTCCATCAAAATGCTCCTATCTCCCTTAAATTATAAGATAACGAAAACTACAGACTAAACTGATGTTACTGACTTAACCCCGAATTATCATTTTTGAGCTCATATTTGGTGAAAAAAAAGTGGTCTGAATTTCGCTCTATATTCGTTGCTCTGTTTCCTACCGTTCCATTTTGCCTCGCGTTCAATTTTGTTCCACCCTCCCCTATAATTAATTAATCATGAATGAATTACATTACTCCAATAAATCATCCGTGTCCTATTCACGTTCAATGCCAAAGAGAAATTGTTCAGGGAAAAATTTTCAAAAGAAATTATTCCCTTAAATCAATTTGCTATTACGTTTTACTTAATTTTATCTCAAATTCAATACTCTGAGTGAAATGATCATGGGAATTTTTTAGACGGGGGATTTTTTTTTAGGGGGAACATTTCTCGGGAGAATTTTTTTGCGGAGAAATTTGGTCAGGGGACAAAATCTGGTCCCCGTATTTCACAACTCCACTACTCAATAATTTTTTGAGAAGAAAACATAACACAAACATTCTTGAGTTCCTTGAAGGAATTACTGTCATTTGCTACTTTTTCGTTTTTCATTTTCTGTACCTGACCACGTGGACAAACTACCGATCCCTTCTCCTGGAGGTTGCATTGGAAATCAGCATCATACATTGCCCCTGGAAGCATATTCGGGAGGTTGTAATTAGCGGGGGGATTTCTCGGATCATTATTCAAACACTCTCCTAAACCACTCCTGGCAAAATATCCAACGAAATTAACTTGGGTAACCATCCAAGTATCAATGTATGAATCAAAAACTATACTTTACTCTAGTAAATTTGTTATGAACTTTCTACTACACGTGGACCATCGAATAGTGTAAATGAAGACAATGGGAGACATGAGGAAGTAACTTTGATCTTTATCCTGAGGTGGGCAGCCACTGACATCCTCTTCATCGTGGCTGCAGCCCATCCTAAAAATATGAAAAAAACAGTGCATCATAATTCATTAGGTTCCCACATCGTCGTTACGATAAAGACGATATTGGAGGGTATCGTCACATTTTCACATGCAATATAACCAAGAGAGGAATCCACATACACATGGCCAACTTCGTGAGCTACTACAATACCGAGAAGGAGACCCGAGTCTTCGTTTATGGCTGCAGCTTTTGGGGGATCACACGCTGCCGCTACGTAGGCCAAACCCATCAAAGTGCATCCAGACTGCTCGGAGCAGATATCGTGTCTTAAAGAATTTTCATTTTATTTTAAATGATTCCATAAGTCGTACAGTAAAAGATTGATTGGTGATGAAAACCATTTATTGATCTCGATAAATTTTCTCATCATTACCTAGTGATCAGAACTGATATATCGAAATGATTTGGGTGAGTTTTCTCTTTGGGATTCATTTTTTCGGACCATGCGGCAAAACTCTCCAATGTTTTTTCCGCTTTTGGTGAAATTGTTAGGTCGATCTAAGAAAATCCAAAAATTCATTTTTATCAGTCTTTGTTTTCGTCAAATTTTGTTGAAATTTTCGACACTCAAATTTTTTTCAATTGTCTGAACAAAATTTCTATTTAAATCGATAATGGAGCGAAAAAAATTCAAGGATTCATGATTTTATGCTAAATTGTTAGGATTATAATTGGTGACGTAATTTGGATTGATAACCTCTTTTTTCTCAGCTTCCAGATAAGTCATCTTCACAACAACAACATCAATTTGGTTTCCCACCGAAGAGTCATGATAAAAATCGGAAACCATATTCATAATAGTGAGTAAATATTTCTCATAGTCAGTTCCCTTATAAAAGTCAAGAAATTTTTTATCAGCAACGACTCCAATTTCAATGAAACGATGAATACTGTGTGTACCAGAGCTCGTTTTTTTATCATCAGCACGTTTCAATGACCGTGAATTACCAGTCTCGATCAAACGTTGTTGCCGCTTGGTCAACTGCTCCGCCCATGCTGATTCCCAATCATCTGTATTCTCACAAATCACGTTAAATTCATGTTCTCTGCGATATTATCCGATAACAGCTTCAACGAGAGAACAGAATGAGGAAGAAATAGAAAATAAAACTCAACCGCCAGTTCCGCATAGACGTTTTGGTGAATCTTTTTCAGTTGGTGTTTGGCGTTTGTAAATCATGTGCACATGCTGGCCGTCTTTTCCCGGCTTTGATTCACTCATTGGCTCAATGAAATATCTTCCATCATCAGTTTGAATATATCCAGCCTTAATGGAACCGATCAAATAATTTTAATAGTAAGGTCGTTTTCCGTTTTTTCAACTGGCTGACATTCAATTTGATGAATGTGCATTAAAGATTGAAAAACATACCACTCCGTCACAGAGGGACAACGCAGCGCGAGAGTTGGAATGACCTCTAACAAAACCTCTGTAATAACATTGGTCATCCGAAACCCTCTTGAATCTCAGCCTGGCATTTAAGTCGTTTACTGGACCATCGCTCCGCGTCTCAATGACCATTTCCGGTGAAATGAAGTCACTATATGGCGTCAATTCTACATGATGATCAGCTCCATTGAATGGCAGCATTAGATGTAACCTATCCACATCTGAATTCATCGATCTCTTCTTTCTCTCAGTCACTTCAACTCGATTGTAAAAATTTGGCAATAAAAATGTGCTGAAACTCCCATCTGCATTGGCCCGTCTCGGCACAAGTAACTCCGGCTTTCTAACATCTCTTGTGTACCTGGAAATAGTTATTTTCATCACAAGGTCCACAAAGTATTTTCTGACGAATGTGATTATAGGCCTCGCCTTCGGCTCGGAAAAAACTAAAATACTTTTGGACCATGGGATGAATGCAATTTTTCATCAGAAGGCCCGTAAACCGCGATCTAACCGAGCGAAGCGAGGTTAGAATTGCGGTTTACCGAGCCTTCTGACGATAATTCAATTTTGTGTATGGAAAATTTTTCTGCGATAAGCTCAAGAGACCTTTGTATTGAACCGTGCAGAGTAAACATATAAAACAAAATGTAAATTCAATCAACGACAAAAGAGCCTCTCGGAAGTAAAGTTAAAGCCTTAAGTTGGAGGTATGAATTGAATTTCCTAGTTCTCCATAAACGAAAAGTTACACTCTACATCTACGTCACAATTCACTCGACTCTCCACAAAGTCGCTGGATGGGGAGGCTAATTGCGTTTGAAACGTCTCAACATTCAGTTAGAATAATGTCCACAGGGAATATTACAAATGAATAAATGATATTATTACGTCGTAAAATATTGAAGCCATGTTTTTCATTTACCCTACCTTAAGCGATCACAACTCACCATCCGTGATATACATCATTAATTCCATCTCCATCAGTGCTTAATGGACTGCAAGTTACCACAGTAAAAGTCCAAAAGAGCCACAGAAAGCAGCCGACAGACGCCATGACACTTTTGTCTGTTACAGGACAAAGAAGCATCGTTAGTATTAAAATCTTCAATCCTTCACTATTATAAAAATCACATAAATTCGGGGATTTAACACTTGACATTTCGTTCTATTGGACGATAAAAAATATATTATAAAAATCGTTCAGTACAGTGAGGCTTGGCGAATCGATTATTGTATCTTTTCATGTATTAATTTAGGAATGAGAACCGTGTCTTAGTTTCCATATATTACGAGGCAACCCACAGGCATTTTATAAGGCTTGACAATAGGAACTGGGAAGAAAAAAAGAAGCTCGTCGGTAAAACCTTATTTTTAGTGCTAAGACATTCGGTTGAGGACTACAGTAATTTAATGTTTTCCATCTCCATTTGATTTTCATTTGATAATCTCATTAGAATCAACCCAAATGCCTGAAGCTCTCGATGGATATGAGGGACTGTATTTAATTTTTAACTTTCTGACGCGAAGGGAGGAAGTTATTGTAATGACCCTAAAAATCGAATGTGAAATGTCCATGATTTCTTTACATTTCTCGGTCTCTCGAATCATCCTGATACGATTTTGAAGACATGTCTGTAGGTGGGTGTGTGTGTGTTTTATTTTTATAGAGGTTTAGGAAAATCTTCAAAAGATTCTGGTAAAGTGATATTAAAAACCAGATCTGGAATTCTTACCCAGTAAAAACCCATTTTTCCTCTTTTCACCTCTTGTCATCTGTTTCCATTTCCCTCGCGACACCACCGCTAAGTATTACTTCGCGAGTAAGGTCTCAGCTATTTGCTCTTCTTCATTTTCACCTAACGTACGTCCCCCTATCTTACTAAGATGTTGTGCGTGGGTAGGAGGTTCGAATAGATTCTCCGTCTATCGTGCAGCTTTGCGCTCGGGTTCCTCTCTTCTGAGCTCCTTCACGACGCCTGCCGCAAAGTCTCACGTTGCGTCCCAGGCGACCTGCGATGACAGCATAGCTTGTACCATGTTTTCAAGCAAGACTTCTCTTCCTAGGTTAGATTCCCAAACACGCCAGATCTCGCTAAAGTGGGGGCATTTGAAAAACACATGCTCCGCGTCTTCGTCGACTTCGGTGCAGACCGGGGACTTCGGGGAATCCTCATGTTTGAATTTATAAAGATACGCCCGAAACCACCCATGTCCGGAAAACATTTGCGTCAGGTAAGAATTTACGTCACCATGTGTATGGTTCAACCAAGCACTCACCTGTGGGATCAGCCGGTGAGTCCATCTTCCCTTCGACGAGTTGTGCCACTTCTCCTGCCATTGCTGCAGACTTTTTCGCCTCTCTTCTGCCCTGAGTTCTGCTGCGCTCAGTGTCTAAAATTTCCTCCGCTGATACAATGACCTTCGTTCTTCGGCCAATAATTCTATGGGGAGCATCCCGGCTATGACGCACGCTGCGTCTTCAGATACCGTACAATAGGCGCTCGTGACTCGCAAAGCACTCAGTCGAGAGACTGGTGCCACTTTCCGCCGTGATTCCTGCAGTTCCAATGTATCAGCCCATATGAAAATGCCGTAGGTGAGCACTGACGTGACCACCGACGACAGCAGGGCTCTTCTTCTTTATTTTAGGGCCCAATGTTAGGCATGGCGCGCGATAAGGTGGATCTGACTCCAGACGCCTTGACTCCCAGGTGGTCGGTTTGCTGCTTGAAATTGAGTCGGGCATCGATCATCACTCCCAGGTATCGAATGAACGGCTGAGAAGTAATTTCACAAGGCCCGACCTGCAGCGTTATGGTCTCGGTTTTTTTCCTGCTGGCGATCAGCCCTGCCTCCGCCAGTTTCAGACCCACTGCGTCCATCCAGTGACGGGTCTTCTCGAAGGACGTTATGTATGTGTGTGTTTGTGTGTGTACGCGTATGTATGAATGTGTGTGTGTGTGTGTGTGTGTGTGTGTGTGTGTGTGTGTGTGTGTGTGTGTGTGTGTGTGTGTGTGTGTGCGTGCGTGTGTAAGTATGTGACAGAAAATTTGTCCAACGATATCTGGTGACTGAATGGAGCGATTCGAAAATTTATTTTCTCAATCGATGCGTGTTAATGTAACTTAGAAATGATTAGTTTATGAAAAGAATCCACTCAGCGGCTTTTTATATATTTGCATAAAACTCCTGAAAAAAATGACAAAAAGCGTTGGTTTCATTCAAATTTGACAATTCTCCGAAAAATAACGATGGGATTTGAATCAATTTTATGTAATCGATGTTTCTTTACATGAATTGATTCTCAATATGTTTTTAGCCGAATAGTCTCAGCGGTTGTTTAGTTTTTTGAAAAAACTTTGAAGTTTAGCGATTTGAAAAAAAGGGAAGAGTTGGAAAAAAAGTTGGAAAATTTTGGAGTGGGTCATTTTTGAAGTGGATCAATTTTGAAGTTGAGGAAATTTTGAAATTGCATTTTCAAGTCGCGGAATTTTAAAGTGGGTAACCTTTGAAGTTGGAGAATTTTGAAGTGGGTTTGACATTGCAGTTCGAAAAGTTTGAAGTGGGTCAACTTTAAAGTTGACCCACTCAGGTTCAAAAGCAATGGGAGCGAGCGAAGCTAGCGACCATCAACCTAGACCAGTTTTTTTAAATAGAATTGCAACGGACAAATTCGGAGGCATACTACCAATGGAATTGGCAGAAATGGAGGAATGTCAAGACTAATAACGCATAAAGTAACGGTCACATGCCTTCAGTCGGATAGGCTCAGCCGCCTGCTTGTTTTTCTAAACCTTATATAAAAAAAGCATGCATTGGAAACCGTCATGGCGAAGGACATGTAAAAAGTGTCATGGCGGCGCATGAAGGACGCATTCTCATGTAAACTTTCATGAGAATGAGTAATGCGGCCGCGACGGCGCTGTTTAAGAAAGCGCGCGTAAATTACAAATCCGATTCTCTATGTGAAATGGAAAATTGTTGGAATGATAATTAATAATTGGATAACTTGAAAGCCAAGAATGGAATGAAACAAGTGGGAAATTACGTTTGTCATCATATAGTATTGTTATTTATTCATATATATTATTTTTATATTTATCACAGATGTAGTCACTCAAATATATATGTTTTGGGTGTTTGGGAAATTGCTTTTTTCTTGATAATATAGTATGGTTATTTTTGGTAATAAATTAGCAATACACTTCCGAATGGTCATTTTGCACCGCATTTTCTTCTATGGTATATAATTCATCGTTTGATAATCCTCTTAATAATCCTTATATAAAAAAAGCATGCATTGAAAACTGTCTTGGCGGAGAGCATGTAAAAAATATCATGATCGCGCACGAACGACGCATTCTCATGTGAATCTTTATGGGAATTAGGGAAGCAGGCGCGGCGGCGCTATTTGAAAAAAAGTACGCGTAAATTATGAAGCGGACTGATAATATGAATTAAGAAACAAATATCGTGTCTACAATAGATACGTCGGTATATATTTTCTACACATGGTTTCGTTTATAATCAGTGCAATTAGTAATTTTTTTAGTGATGAGAGTTGAGAACTGACAAGGTAGTATCTAGAGGTAGAGAGTAAGAATTGACAGATCAAATTCCTAACTAACATAAATAATTTGTTTTCGTTTTTTTTCATTCGATTATTGTTTAATCTTCATAGTTTTTTTTTCGACCGGTTCAATAATGAGATCGTAATCTTTGGCCTCTGAGGTCAGTAGCAGACTCAAGGTGGTCAATGGAAAAGAACAAAAACAATTCCAACAATCCAGTTGAACTTCGCCCAAAGTTTCGACTCCATGTGGAGGTCATCTTCAGGGGCATTTTATTTATTATAGAACTAAAACCAAAAGAAATTTGACCACCAATCAGTTACAAAGCGGAGTTAAAATATAGAAAATACATGGGCTATGAAACCATTACAAAACTAAATACTTATTCTTAAATAAATTGGCACATAACCACCGTCAACATCCCCCATGAGTAATGTTATGACAGATCTAACCTAGAAAAAACCTATCTATAAATTGCATGAGAAACCCCCCCGAGACCGCTCAATGGATCCCGTGTGAACAAAACACCATTCAGTAAACAGACTAGACTCAATTATTGCATTAACATCTGTTCCAAAAATATTTAAACTACCGTATCACAATAAAAACATCACAAAAAATCCTCTCACCCCTGTCATAACAAATTGCCACCAGTCCAAATGGACCGATTTACATGAGCGACACAACGATAATAGCTCAATTCGGCTAGCCCCAACTCCCCCCTCCAGCCCCTTCCAAATGGGTCATGTTGGCGCCAAAGTACGAAATGCGAAAAACCTAACTATTTATAAATTAGTGGATTGTAAATAGACAAAAGTCTTTTTACATCAGTTCTATAGTTTACGCTAGTGTTCAAAACTTTTTTAATGTGGAACATCTCCAATCAATTCCTTTTCCCCTTATTATTCTCATTATCCAAAATCTTTACTTTATCAAAATCAAAAGAATGCTGTAGCTCCTGTGCATGTTTAGCAAGGGCCGTGCGCCCATTATTAGACACCTTGCTCACACTGTACTATAAATTCTTCAAAATCAAACGAACTTACCTGTAAGTGAAGTTCGATTGTAATTATATGAAGTCTCGTTCTCGGGATTACAATCCTGATATTTACTGGTAGATGTTCAGAGTTCGATATTTTTGAACTTTTTATTTTACTCAAATTTTCTTTCCCCAGATCAACTATTTATCCATAATTACTGAATTATTATTATTGATCTGACTATTATTCTTATCACGATTATAGTCATATAAACATGTAAAAATACATTTTGTAAGAATCACTTGGTTATCGATTGAACAAGGGATGAAATTCTATAGGCCATGAGCATTGCAAAAAACAAGAAAATAGTAGAAAATGGGCATCGAACTATTAAAGCCGTCGTTAATAAAATACTGCCACTGAAGGGCTATCGAGAAAAAGAAAAAAATCACAGCACCGTCGATTCTCATGGCCAAAATGCAATTTCGGGAATGAAGCTAGATATGACTTCAGTTTGATGGAAGGAACCACCTGACTACCTAATAGTCCTGTGGACTATTTACTATAAACTATTCTGTAACATGAATGTCAATACCAGGTTTTCGAAAGCTGTTATTTATTCAACTGCTTATTTCTCGAGAAGTTGTAGATTTATGGGGCTCATTAAATATTAACAAGGACCTCTTTAGATAAAGTCAAAAAATTTGGTTGTTTCTAAATGGAAAAACGAGAGATTATGCTACATAAGCTTGATATCTCTTCAAAAAATTGTAGAGAAAAGAGAAATAAATAAATACATAAAAAATCTGAGTTGAGACCTTTTGGATATATCGAACTTCTATATATAGAAGTTCGAATAGAAACAGAACCAATTACATGCACGTGCATATCAAGTTCCATCGCATTATTCATGCTCGTTAGAAATAGAGCTTTCATTCCATGGAGAATCCTTAAAAATTTTAAAAACAAAAAACAAAAATGGTCGATTGGAGGCCAACGAAGCCCATGAAATTAGTGATTCTACTTACGAACAGGCAACTCTCACATGGTAAAGAGAGTGCTAATTGATTAGATGCAGTCTGAGAAACACTTGGATTAAAAACAAAGAAATTCAAAAAGAAACTCTAGTTGCTGTTTTTTTTTTGGAACTGATGATATTATCCATTGGCTATTTGAAAAGTCATATGAGACTTTAGTTTCGAAGAAAAAACTGTGGACGAAAGAAATTTCTGGAAAAATCCAGTTGAGTTCAATTGGGTAGAAGAAAAATACGTCGATTTTCAGTTCTTCAATTATAATGACTTATTTCATAACGCGATAGGTATACAATAAGCCAACGAGTCAGGGCATTAACAGCGGCCCCTTATAAGGCAACAGTAGAGAATATTACTGAATATCTTATAGATTCACAGGAGAACAATCATTGAACAAAATAGGGGGTCCAGATAATTGGATAGATACCGAGCTTACACTTCAACATTGAGTATTACTTGCAGAGATGGTCTGTATGATACGACCATGAGTCCAGATGTTTTGACATCTTTTATCATTTTTCAAAATTATCAATAATATTATTATGACGATTTATATGTTTCATGAATTCTGGAGGATTTTTAATCGGAAATAAAAACATCTACTTGTTAAGTGTCTGAAATTACTTCTCTAGCGGAGAAATTCTTCAAATTTAGCACTAATTTAGAAGGCAAGAGAAACTTCTGGAAAATCCCAACGTTTAGCAAAAATATGACAGAAAAGTCTGACAGCTTCATTTTTAGGTTCATATGAGCTTTCCGTGACCTCTTTTCTGGATCAAAATTTTGATCAGAGAAGAAGAAATCTGAATCTAATCAAAATA